ATAACCCACTATTTAGATGACTTCTTGATTGCTGGAAACCCCAATTCCCCACAATGTAGGGACACATTAGATGATTTTCAGGAATTAATGTCGGAGTTGGGAGTTCCTCTAGCTGAAGAAAACAATGATGGTCCCGACACACAGCTTACCTTTTTGGGTATTGAGATAGACACCATTGCTGGGATTTCTCAATTACCGAATGACAAATTGGTGGCTATGAGGCAGCAGGTTAGTTTGATGCTAGAGATGCAAAAAGCTACACTTCACGAATTTCAATCCCTTACAGGATTGCTAAACTTCGCCTGTAAGGTAATAGTTCTGGGGCGAGCATTCTGTGCAAGATTATATAGGGCTACTGTAGGAGTGTTTGCACCGTACCATCATATTAGGATCACAAGGGGAAATTGTGAGGATTTGAAGGCTTGGGAGTCCTTCTTTGAGCAATTCAATGGGACCTCATTTTGGAGATCTGAAATGCTGCTGAGGGCAGACTTTCAGGTACACTCTGATGCTGCTGGCACCCATGGCTTTGGTGTTTACTGGAATGGCCAGTGGGCTGCAGAGGCGTGGCCTTCTGCCTGGATTGAATGTGGTCTGATGAGAGACCTGATGTTTTTGGAACTTTTTCCTATTGTGGTGGCTGTGCACCTCTGGGCAAACCAATTTGCTAACAAGACCATCTGGTTTTGGGGTGACAACCAGGAGGTTGTTCAGGTGGTAAATTCTCAGTCTCCTTAGTCCCCCAGAGTAATGTGTTTGGTGAAGGCATTGGTCATGAAGTGTTAGAAGTTTAATGTTTTATTCCAAGCTCAGCATGTTCCTGGTGTGCTTAACCCTTTGGTGGATGCCCTTTCTCGTTTCCAGTTCTCCAGATTCCGGAAACTGGCTCCCAAGGTGTCAACACACCCAATGGAGGTACCGGCTTTGCTATGGAACCTTGGAGACTAGAAATTCACATTCCATCACCCTATCTACACACAAGTCCTACCAGATAGCCTTGAAAGCGTTTAATTAATTTTTATTGGAAATTGGGGAGATAGAAGGCTGGCCTATTAGAGTAGATCTAGTCTTGCATTTCATAGTACATCTCAGGCATGCCGGTTTGTCACCTGTCACTATTAGGGGCGGGCTGGCTGCCCTGGCTTTTCACTCCAGGGCAAGGGGTTGTTTTGATCCTACCACAATCTTCAAGGTTAAAAGAGCTGTGGAAGGCTGGTCCAGAGAATCCCCTGCAGTAAAGGACTCATGATGGCTGATAACAGGCACAGTCCTGGCTAAGTTATTGAACAACTAGCCGATACATGTTATATACCAGAGGAAGCAGCTTTATTTAAGGCAGTATTTGCCATTGCCTTCTTTGCAGCTTTACAAATTAGTGAGATTGTGCCTGGATCTTGCAATGATCAGTCTGGTAGGGCACTTTTAATTTTTGATGTTATCTTAACAGAGCAGGGGATTCAGATTTGCATTAGGTACTCCAAAACTGATCAGTTGGTGAAAGGTCAGTTTATTTCCTTAGCTAAAGTGTCTAATGGGCAAATTTGCCCGGTGTTAGCAATGACTAATTATCTGAGGGTTAGACCAAAAGTGGCAGGTTATCTGTTTCTCCACTTGTCAGAAACGCCCTTAACTCAATTTCAATTTAGGGTGGTGTTGAAGGAGACATTAAGATGGGCTAATTTGCCACAGGCTTATTTTTCTTCTCAATCCTTCCACATCTGCACGGCAACAGCTTCAGCCGAACATGGTCTAAGTGAAGCTGATATTCACTGAATTGGCCAGTGGTGTTCTAAGGCATTTAAGTCCTATGTTCGGCCTTCTGGGAACAAGAATTCCGATCAACTTCACTAATTTGCTTTACTTGCATTTCAGCTGGTTTTTTCCATGGCAAGATTTGGATTGTGGGCCACAGTCTAGTCTTTTGGGCAGAACACCACCTTCTTGAGAACTGGTGTGATACTAACTTGGACTTGGTGAACATCGGCACTACTTAATGGTTTGGCTGCAGGAGTATGATGTGGGGAGCGCTCCTTCCTTGAATTATCCAGCTGTCAAGGTTATATCCACAATCCCGGGTTCTAGTCATACACCTGGGGGAGAATGACTTAGTGAAAATCCTTTGTCTTCAGCTGGCAAAGCAGATGGTGAAAGACCTGCAGGAAATTAGAAAGATTGCACCTGGAGCTATACTGCTATGGACTAAGCTGCTGCCAAGGCATAGCTGGCCTGGGGCTCACAAAGATGCTGCCATTAACAGTGCTTGATGGTGGCTAAATCATTATGTGGCCAAACAGTTATCAAGACTTGGCATTTTCATAATTGAACACTCGGGAATCAAATTGGATAGGCCTCAGCTGCACAGGAGGGACAGGGTGCACCTGTCTGCAGAAGGCTCCGAGCCTTCAGGGACTCTATGAACATATTAAAAAAGCAGTTTGTGAGGGGGGGAGAGGGGATGCCTAGCTAGGCTGGCCTCCTCTTGTGGCGGGTAATGACCCCCACCCCACAGGGAAATTAATCTGGCTAATTAAATTTAATTGGGGTAAATTTGGCAAAAGTTAAATTAAAGGAAGTGACGTATGCAATTAAATGTATGACATCATTAACTAATGACGTCATATGACGTAATATGATGTCATTTCCGGCAGGGAGGGGTTTGTGAATTTGTTGTTGACATTTGTTTACTTACTTTGTCACATGTGGTGAAGGAACACCCATCTGGGTAGGTTACACCTTCACACACACATATGACAAAGTGTTGGGAGTTTAATTGCAAATCTTTGTAAATAGACCCTGTATAGCAAAAATAAAAGTTGTGGCCTCTTTAAACCCAAAAAGAGGCATCTCGTGTCCTTTGTGCTGGTGCAAAGACACCCCCCAATGAGTCGGGAGGGGTTTCTTGTTGCACCGGCCATATAAGGGCATGAGAGGCCTGATTGGAGAAGCATGCAGGGATCTCTTTGAGTTACTGCACGCTTGGCCAATCAAGTTGTTTGCTTGACTGAAGGAGGTCTTGCAGTGATCATATTCTCACGAGATTGCCTCCGAGAGTTTGTTCTATATAGCCCTATGATGCCACATAGCAGCAACCACTTTAGAGTTGGAACTGAGCAACCCAATCCACCCACCCTTATTTAAGAATCACGTTAGGTTACTCTCAGGTTTAAGCTGGTCGCTTTCGGGGGCCGGGAGGGAATTTTTTCCCAGGGCTATCACCCTGGGTTTTTCATCCTCCCTGAGATTACTGTATACTCAGACTGTTGGGTATGGGTCATAGGATATTAATAACTTATGTTGTTATGTTACATTATCATTAGATTTGTCACAATTTAAGGGATTAGGGTCTATATTTTGGAAGTTTGGCTGTATTTCTAATGGGGCAGGTAATGACCCCCACCCCACAGGGAAATTAATCTGGCTAATTAAATTTAATTGGGGTAAATTTGGCAAAAGTTAGATTAAAGGAAGTGACGTATGCAATTAAATGCATGATGTCATTAACTAATGATGTCATATGACCTAATATGACATCATTTACTGCGGGGAGGGGTTTGCAAATTTGTTGTTGACATTTGTTTACTTACTTTGTCACATGTGGTGAAGGACTACCCATCTGGGTAGGTTACACCTTCACACATATGTGACAAAGTATTGGGAGTTTAATTGTAAATCTTTGTAAATAGACTCTTATACAGCAAAAATAAAAGTTGTGGCCTGTTTAAACCCAAAAAGAGGAGTCTCTTGTCCTTTGCGCCAGTGCAAATGAGCCTTTCCTAATGCTTCCTTGAAATGCTGAGGTCTGAATCTGGGTCATTCCCATGTTTTCTGTCTTGAAACTACAATTCCTCAGGCCATTGGAAGTGGTGAGTCTTGACTAAGGGCCTAAGCAGACTGCCAGAAATAGTACACATTAAATTGAGGCACTGCCCTGGCTCAGTGCTAGGGAATCATGGGAACTGTATTTTATTGTGGCACCAGAGCTCTCTGACAGAGAAGGCTCAATGTCCAAGGGAAAAAAACAATTCTCATGATTCCCTAGCACTGAGCCAGGGCAGTGCCTCAATTTAATGTGCACTATTTCTGGCAGTCTGCTTAGGCCTTCAGTTTGTCAGTTTCAATGCTTACTAAATCCTGGCATCTCAAACAGCCTGCTTCTAAGCAAGATGAGAGAGTAATTTTCACCCAAGAATATGTTATAATTCTGAAGACTGGACCAGATGTCTTGATTTTTCTTTTCTGAAAGGAACTAACATTGCTTCGATTCACCCAAGGAAGCCCTTCTCCCAGAAAACCATCCCATCACTGGTCAGTTCTGGATGACTTCAGCATGTAAATGTGTTCTTCTAAATTCTGTCCTTGCGCATGTGCAAGGTGCTATCCTGTCCTTGAACCATAATATTATTTTAAGCAACGTGTTACACAGACTAATAAAAATAGTTACTTTACTGTTTTTGTTGTTGTGTGCCTTCAAGTTGTTTCCAACTTATGGCAATCCTAAGGGGAACCCATTATGATGTTTTCTTGACAAGTTTTGTTCAAAGAAGGTTTACCTTTGTCTTCATCTGAGCCGGAGAGAGTGTGACTTGCTCAAAGTCACCCAGTGTGTTTCTATTGCTGAGCAGGGATTTAAACCCTGATCTCCAGAGTTCTAGTCTGGTGCTCAAACCACTGTATCATGCTGTTATCTTCCATTAATTCCCAATTCCTGGCTCCAAAAGAGATACATTGCAACCAGTGCTGTCTGAGTGCCTCAAGAGAGCTCTCTAACCATATTTCAGCAGCTTTTCACAATTAGTGCTTTCTTTTCTACACATCCACAATATGCAATGACCTTTAATGAAGAAGAAGGAGGGAAATAAAACAATAATCTGAAAATGTACTTTCCCAAAAATATGTAAATACAACTGTCAAGAGAATAACAAGAGAGCTCAGTATTCGGACTCAGATTCACACGTCAACAAAAAGAGCACCCTGCATTCTGCTGGAGTGAGAACAAGTCCCTCCTCCTCCTAGTGCCAATGAAGACAGTGTTCCTTTGATTTTTATAAAGTTGGGCCTCCATCTAAATTCACTTTAAGTTCTGACCTCCACAACCAAGAATGATGATGAATATGCAAAGGGAACTGTGCATGGAGAAGCGATTAGCATTGGGGCTAGAGAAGATTAGAATAGGGCATCTCATGGGCAAGAGCTTAGACAAGAAGCTGAGCATGTCATTCAGAAACACATCGAGCCTGGGAAGCCCAAGGCTTATTGTGTCCACAAGATAGCTGTGATCCTGATCAAAAATACACACATCCTCCTCCCAACATCCATTTGTATATACACACACACACACACTAGGGTTGCCAAGTGAAATATGGAACAGGAATCATGCCCATTTAACAGTTGTTTAAAAGAGAGGGTTTTAGCAGATGCTGCTTGTCATAAAAGCAACACCTGCTGAAATTCCCTCTTCCACACAACCACTGAAGGAACACAAGCTCTGTCCCAAACGTCCCTTGTGCTGTTTTATGTCTTCGGGTTGTTTTTACGCATGGCAACCTTAAGGAAAACCCATCATGGGATTTTCATGGCAAGATTTGTTCACAGGGGGGTTGCATTTGCCTTCCTCTGAAGCAGAGTGTGGTTTGTCCAAGGTTATCCAGTGAGTTTCTATGGCTGCTCTTCAGAGTCATAGTCCAATGCTCAAACCACTACACCACACTAGTTCTCTTGGCATCCCTAATATATACATATGCACACATATAAATAGGGCTACCCAGTGGCCACTGGTGGCTTTCATGCTAGTGAGGCAGTGAATTCTGTTCTAGGTTTTAACTTGTACATTAAAGGACCCATCTAAGGTGCTGATCCTATTGAGGAGGCATGCTTCAGTACCCCGGAGAGCTTTTTTCAATTTCAGAATAAACATATAATGGATTGACCACCCCAATGACATAGAAGCACCAGCTGCTAAGGGGCAACTAGTCCACAAGAATTTGTTGCCTGAGGTGAATAACAAGATGGTAATCCATTCATTGCACTTACAGAAGCTGATATGACAGGCATCAGAATCTTATTTTAGTACTGGTGATACAACAGCAGCCACTGTAGGAAGTGCAAGATAGGGTGCCTGGAAAACAGAGCTCTGTATTCTACAGGAGGGCAATATTCAAAGACTAGACACCACATTCCCTTCATATCTCTGAACATCAGTGACCTGAGCTCTCTACCTAGCCCTCACTCTGCATTATGGTAGAACCGGCTTTTCATGCACACATCACTTGCTACTATGCCTAGAGATAAAGAATGGCTCCCAACTGGCATCAATGGGAGTCTCCCCCCCCCCCCAAATAGTAAGATGGGAGAGGCAATTTTAATCAGGATCATGGGTAGTAAGTAAAGAGTTAAATGTCCCTTCCATGTTTCCCATGGCCCTAATGATTTTTTCCACCCATTTTATTGGGGAGAGGAGCTGTTGTAGTGCTAAACATTGACATTTTGGCTCCTGCAATTATAAACTGCTGCTTATGGAAGGCAAACATGTCTGTTTTTCCCTTTTGCAGGACTCCCATTTCTCCTGTCCTTCATGCCCCTACCCCATATGTCCTTTGGCCCTTCTTCTCAGGAGGCCCACTCCACCACTGATAGCCAGTGCCCTGCAATGACCCAAGCGGAGGAGTATTTTGCCTTTCAGTAGCATATGTTAAATCATTACAGCTGGGAATACAAATTCTCATTTCATTTGTCATATTTAACAGCATCAGATAGGAAAGATTCCCAGAATCCATTATGAGATAAAATCATTAAGTTGTGTTTCATCTAAAGCACTCTCTAGTCTTTGAAGTTTGATATTGGTGGGAAAGGACAAAACGCATCACATGAAAGTGTTGGAATAGCACTATAAATTGTGGTACCTCCTTGTAATAAGAGCTGACAAATTAAAATAAGGGGCCTTCAAACAACCTTTAGATAAACTCCTTGAAATGGTGCACATTATTCTGGTGACTGTGGACATGTGTCAGAAAACTTAAATGTTCTGGAGTGCTCTCCAGCTCACTTTGCAATTTCCTTCCCCACCCCTGTTTGTCATTCATTTTGGAAATTAGAAAAGCTTTTTCCCATGGGGGGAGAGATTTTGTTGTTGCAAATTAAATTGCTTCCACTGAAGGAGTAACTTAAAACAAAGCCAAAAATGCAAAATAACTAGTACACTTCTTTCTAAGTGAAGTAACTCAGGTAAGCTACAATTTTACATGTACTTCAAATGTAATGGAACTCCAAATAAGCATGCATAGGATGTATAGGCCTCTGAAGACCTAAAAGCATATAAGATGGGATATATCCAAAGGTATCATTGGTACTAAAGAATCCAGATTCTAAATGCATAATGACTAACATCATCTGTAGAAGACTCCTCTGAGCAGCAATACATGTGTTATTGAATTGTCTGTGCATACCTTGTCATCTTGGAAAGAGTTGACAAGTGGGGCACTGCAGGGTTCTCTCCTGGTCCTGGTGTTGCCCTATAGCAGGGGTAGGCAACCTTTCCCCTTTAAGGGCCGAGGGACTTCAGCTCCCAGAAGCCTCAGCCATGTTGGCCAATAGTCCCATGTTGGCCAATAGCTCCTGGGATTCTGGGAGCTGAAGTCCCTTGGCCCTTAAAGGGGAAAGGTTGCCTACCCCTGCCCTATAGTATTCTCAGTGACTTCAATGAAAGAATAGAAGGGTTGCTCACTGGAGTCTACAATTCTATGATTCTTTGAACCATATTGGCAAATTACAACAGAACTTCTCTATCATGTTGTAGCTATCTGACTTGTAGCTGTTAAAGATGAAGTGAAAGAAACCTGTTAGGGTTTTAAGATCATCTGGAGCAGGGGTAGGCAACCTTTCCCCTTTAAGGGCCGAGGGACTTCAGCTCCCAGAAGCCTCAGTCATGTTGGCCAATAGTCCCATGTTGGCCAATAGCTCCTGGGATTCTGGGAGCTGAAGTCCCTCGGCCCTTAAAGGGGAAAGGTTGCCTACCCCTGATCTGGAGAGTCTCTTTCTCTGTCCCATCACCTTCTCAGGCTTGTTTAGTGGGAACAAGGGAGAGTGCCTTCTCGGTGGCTGCTCCCAGACTTTGCAACTTCCTTCCCAGAAAGGCCAGTCTAGCTTCATCCTTGCTCTCCTTCTTGTGGCAGGTTACATTTTTTCATCACCAGGTCTTTACAAATTGTTGAAGTTGGGCTCTTAATGCTGTATGGTCCTGGTTTTGAAGATTTTTATGTAGTACAAAAGTAGTACAGTCTTTCCCAAGAGATGTTATAAAAGGAGATTTCTGAAAATATAGAGCTTTATGAATAAAGTATATGTAACTAATCTCATATAAATAATTTGCCAGGGGAAATCATGCTTCACTCACTGTTAAAAAGATCCAGTGGGAAGGCGAATAGACTTGAAAGTTGCAGGTGCTATGGCATGTAAGATCAAAAACCAATACCTTGATCTTCTTTCATTGGAGAAGGGGGTCAATTCCCTTCATGATCAAAATGATTCTTTGAGACACTGATGATGATGTGTGTTGGGAGGAGACTTGATTCTTGCATTTCTTTGAGTACTTAAAGAGTGAAAAAAGAAAGCCCTTACCCAAATATCTTATGTAACTGATAGCTGGAAATTGGCAGACACCAAACAGCTGGGGATGCCACAAAATACATTTATAAAATTGTTAAGGGGTGCCCTGCCTAATATGCCCAGAGCATGCAATAGAATGGAGGTGGGACTGATGCCTGTGAAGTTTAGTGTTCCTAGAACATTTTTATGCACTACTGTAAACTTGCTAAAAACAGATGGAAATGCACTACCCACAAAATGTTTCCTGGAACATATTAAAACAAACTAGAATCAATTGGATAGCTCTCTAAAATGCTGAAATTTGATAGCAAACCTGAGAATTTAAGTGATCTGAGTTTTCAGATCAGAGAAGAAGCAGCTCTCAGTCAAAATAACATTTTTTTCCTAATTAAGTTATAGTAGTCATTGTGGATGTCTTTATTTTCATTATACGTCCATATTTACTATTGTGCTTGTGCAGCTATCCCTGCCATCCTGGTTATCTATTTCTCTGCACAAAATCTGTGTCTTGCAGGACAGAGAATCTATAACTTCTGATTATGTGTGTTTTTATCAAATGTATATGGCTACTCATCAATAAATATTCTCTAGACAGCATTTAATAAATAAATATACATTATACAAGCATTTGACTTAGAAAACAATAAAAGATATGGTATTACATAAAGCATTTTTTTTGTTGAGCAAAATGGTAAAGCCACTTAGATTAAAATGGCAAAAACTCAAAATTTACTTAAAGCTCAATGGTTTGTTTGTTTGTGTTTGTTTGTTTGTTTTAAACTGAGTACATGGGAGGATCTTCAGCTGGTGCTGAAAAGACCTTTAGAAGGTAATAAGTCAGTGTACTAGACTCCAGTGTCCTAGTCCAAGGAGATTATTCCATAACCAGGGTACCACCAGCAGCAAAATCCTCTGCATAGCAGTCAGTTATCTACTTATCTTGATAGGGCACATGGAACAGGGCATCTAGACATCATCCAGCATTTGGGGAGGTATCTAGGCAAAAAGACAACCTTGATAGACAATTACAAAACATCCAAATAAAGGATCCCATTATTTTTACTCAGTGAAGCTCTGGTTAT